TTTATTAAAACAAAATAAATATCCACATGTTTGAGAGTTTGTAAAACATAGTTACCATCCAAACAGATAAATTAAAATAGTTGGATATAAATAATGGATTAACAGTTGAAATAGTTAGTTTAAAATAATGGATAGTGGTGGACAGTTGGAATAGTTAACTTAAAGTAATGGATGAATGGTTGGATTTATTAGCTAAAAGTAATGAATAAGCAGTTGGAGTAGGTAGCTTACAGGTCCAGAGTGTAGGATTTAGTGACATTATTGATTGATTTAGCTGCAGATTGCAACCAACTGAATAAGATCTCCCTTTCCTAGTGCTTGGGGGAAACTAGGGTGGCTTTAAAACTTGCAAAAAATGCCCGATCTAGAGCAAGTGTTTGGTTTGTCCATTCTGGGCTACTGTAGAAACATGGCAGTGCAACGGAAGATGGAAGTGGGTCCATAGAGGAGGACCCACTCCCTCTGTAGATCAAAATGGCTTTTTATATTAAGTATCCACTTAATAATGAATAGAGTCCAATAACATGTTTAAAATCCATTCAAAAGAGCATGTTTAAAACACAATAGGTGATGTTGATGAAGGGGGTGGGGTTTGGAAACACTAGCATTGATCATAATTAAGCACATTTCCAAGTCATGTCCGTATTTGTAATTGGCGACATCTAATGTCTGTGTATCCTCATTACTTTGATCAGCTGTTATTTAACTAGATTTTTCTAAAGGGGGTTTGTGTGAATCATCATTTGTAGGAGTATTGTTTTCTGTTCTTGAGACTGTGTCTTCCCTTGTAATGCTTGTGCCTTTCTGTTTTCCCCTTGCTTCTGTTTTTCACTTCATCTTCCTGCTTGTCACTGTCTATATGCCTGTAAACTCTCACCCACTGTCGTTTCCCTATATCTCTATACATGTCCTCTTCCATCTCAAACTCTCTGTGGTACCATCTCTATAGCTCCTTTCTTAGGCACCCAGGAAAGCTGCATTTTGTCTTCAATGTAGTAGAGTTCCCAGCATGCTCTGGGCGGCCTGCGGGGAGGCGAGGCTTGTGTACCGGTTGGCTGTTTGACCTCATCAATCCTGTCCTGGTTTTCCCAGGGAAGGCTGAATCCTCCGGCAGCCCGGCTCTGCCAAAGGTAATGAGTACACTGGAAAATGGAGAGCTGAAACTAGATTGTGCAAATTTGTGAACTCTTGGTCTTGGCTGATGTATTTCTTGGTCCGGGCTGATAAGGGCTCATATTTGCGAGTACCAGTGTTCAGGTGCTGTAATAGTTGCAACCCCCGACTCATGCAGTAGAAAGAAAAAAAATACACGTACCCCTCGTGGCTAGGTTGAAATGTTGCTGCACCTTACATTGCCATCCCTCTTCTTTGCCTTTGTCTAAGTTTTGTCTCGATAAAAATGCCAGTAGAGCTGGGATGCCCATTCTCCTTCAAATATTACAGCTCAAGAGGTTCTTGACTATAATAGGAGGCAAGTGTGGAGCAGAATATCAGAAACTGTGCAGTGTCTCCATGAAACTGCAGACCTTAAGGCATTAGGGAGTCTACTTGTTTCTATTACATGTTTTAGGCTTCTCTAGAAACTCGATTTTTAATGTACAAGACTAAAAAAAGAACAAGCTTTGGGCCCTTTGTGTGTGGTTAATTAAAGAATTAATTTAAATTAAAGCAAGAAAATCCTCTCTACCACAGACTCTATGGATTCCTGTTGGAGCTCTTGAGTTTCCCTATTAGTATGTCTTAGAATATTAAGTAGATCAATTAATAGATTGGTGGTCCCACAGTGGCTTCTCAGCATTGTTCTAATTACTCTCATTATTTTGAAATGCTTGCTAATGGCCTCTGACCCTAGATCCATGTGAGTTTGAGACCCAACTGCTTCTTTCGGCCTCCGTCTGACCTGTCGGTGCCCTTCATAATGGTTGGACCGGGTACAGGAGTTGCTCCCTTCATTGGTTTCCTCCAGCAAAGGTATGGTACATTTCATGATATTATCTTGCCCCATAGTAAGTGACATTTTTATCAAGTAATAGAGCTGGAGTGTATATTCAGATCCCCTGTTCTGCAAACGTCAAGCTCATGTGGTAATGTACTTGATCCTGCAATGGTATACATGTTACAAGATATTCTCCTGAAGTAGGTCACGTAAATGTTCATGTCAACCATCAGAAACATGCAGGTTATATTCTGATTGTTGCACTGTGTGACACCGATTATTGCAGCAAAAAAATTCTGCACCCAGTAATGAATATTCACAATGGTGAAGTGATGTTAAGTGCACATCATCTATGCATATTTTCAAGTAATCTGCAAAGACAATTAAATGAGACCCCGCTCAAAGCCGTTAAAAGTAAAGTTGACGTCATGTACATCTCATAAGGCATAATAAATCTAATGGCGAGGGCTGTGATCACGTCAGGGATTATTTCAGATGCTCTGCTTGTCTCAACAGGAATAAATTAGGCACTCTCTCCGATGCGCAGGTTTATGACTGGGGCCTGTAATGAAGAGCCAGCAGTCATAGCAGCACATGCGGCGTTATTGATTTGAAAGTAAAACGTCCAGTAGGTGGAGGCCACGTTGTTGGAGTAAATCACTGCTTGTAATTGCGGAAGAGGTGGTGTGAGGATATTGACTGTTAGCTGAGTATGTCGTAGCTCTCTCCAGCTTGTTAAAGCGTTGCTGTAAGTCCAAATGCTTGAAGAGCGCTATCATTTGGTAGAAAACGTGGCCGTTTGTTTAATTTTCTGAGGTTCTGAATTGACAGTTCAATCAAGATTGCAAGATGATGACCTGTCAGAAGGATTTAATGTGACTGAAGCTTCTGTATCCAGGCTACTGCCTGTGTGTCGAACCAGGTCCATAGCTCACCATGACTTTAAGAAGGCGAAGTAAGCCTTTTTAGTCAGACTGACATGTCTAACTCTTGGGTGGCTTTGTATAAATGAGGTTTTGCCCCAGTCAACTCCAATTGTCTCTAAATCCCTTGGACGTCTGCACCGTTAAGGCGGGTGGCGTCACTGGGTGATTGCTCAGAGAGGTGACACGGCACCGGCTGAAGTGATAGCGTTGATGGATTGTCTGCAGAAGATTTGGGGGGAGGATGAGTGGTCATCTGGGGTGAGAGGTGTATACGCCTTTGGGATGCAGGAGCACTGAAGATAGCGCACATTTTTCCAACTGACCTGGTTATACCACTCCTTTTCTTAATGATCAAGGTTAAGCCAGAGGGACGGTACCCTGGTGGAAGGCAGTGATATGAACACATCAGTCTCACTTTGATCCTTACAGCAGTATGCAAACATTGCTCTCTGAAATCTAAGATACTCAAAATATACATTTGAGTATTTTATTTAATGATCTGTCCTTGCAGACCTGCTTGTTAGTGCAAGCAAAACAGTCAGACCTTGATTGATTTTGGAAGACTTTGTTTCATAATACAACCACAACCCCTCAACAGATGCATCCTGCGAGTTCAATGTTGGATCTTTTTTAATTTCTTTTTATACATTTCAAATGTATTCTTTTGTTTTTCTTTCAAGAGACCCTTCACTGTTAGAGCATAAACTCATGTGAACCAATTCATCAGCCTGACTGTCTCCTCAGTCCATTCTCCCTCTCTGTGTCTCTCATCCTCTCCCCTGCCAGCTGCGTATTGTGCTGGAGGATTGTAAAAACCTGTCATGGTGCGCAGCATTATACAGAATCTAACTTGAGATTCCAAACAAAGCCTCGGTGGCTGACGCTGCACTCTGATAGGAGATAACAATCACCAGTTTGTCAACGGGACATCGTATCTGCCTCGAGGCCCAAGAAAGGTCCTGTTAGCAACAAAACAACATGGGGACATTTCGATCTTCCTACCTCTCTCCCCCCTTCCACTCCCACTGTTAATCGATGGCTGTTTTCAAAAGTACTTTGTATGAGTTTGTAGTGCTGGTAAGAAGTGGAAGAAGTCTCTAAAGGTCAGAGGCTCACTTGGTGGTACCAGGAGATTTTAATAAGGCCCTCCAGTAGTGGTATTGATTGCTGTGGTTTGCGTGGAAGGATTTTATGGAGAATGTGATTTCCACTGTCTCTCTATGTAGCTGGGAGCAGTGACAGTTAGACAAATATTGTATTTTAACTGAGTGGTTAGCCTTAATCTCCTTAACAGCTCTAACAAGCTTTTCTTTTGGAAAAAATCAGTCTGCTCAGTTTAATATTTAGGTTTGCCAGCAGGCATTCAATATGACAACCTTTATTAAGGTTTGTGCGTTTGTGTGAACAAATATTGAGCTTCTGTTTATCAGTCTAACCAGACAGCTGATTGCAATTAGGCTACGGCATCTTGCAACTCAGCATTGTACTGTATTATAAAAACATTCTAAATTCAGCACGTTGAATGTATATGGGTGTAATTTTGCTATGTAATTCCAGTGATTAAGCCTCAAGCTGTTGTTGTGTTTAGGCTTTTTTTTTTTGTTCTTGTTGTATTTTTTGCCTAAAAAGCCACTCAGCACCTCTCGCGCTGAACTGCAAGAGAAAAACGGATGAAACATATGAGATAATTGGGATGTTTACCAAGTCTTCACCTCAGCTTTCCGTGCAGTTTCCCCCTCCTGCTGATCATCTGAATGGCGCTGAAAGGCAACCGCTTCTGATTTCGACCCCAAATGGAGTGCTCTGTAGCTGCTGCCTTCCCCCTGGGATTGTGTTGCAGGCTGTTATAGTGTGGGTATGTGATGTGATGTGATTTGTATTCAGAGAGAGGCGCCGGTGTGGTCTACTCAGAATGGAATCCAGGTTTTTCATATTGGTATTGATCCCTTTAGGGCAGGCGGCGAGAGGAGAGAGACGAGCCCACTAAAATGAGTTTACTTGAGGCTGTTTGCAGATCAGAAGAATCTCGTCCAGGATGCTAATGGATGGGATCTGAGTGTTCAGATCAAGTCATCCAGACAGCTCTGTTACTGAGCCCCATTCACAGACGTAAAGTTCAAACAAACTTCTTCTCCAAAGCTTTTTTATTAACTGGTCAACTTCTCATCTAATTAATGAGGACTAAGCTTTGTTTTAGTATTCACAGTAAGGCTTGCATTAATATATTTTTTATTAAGGCTAATTAGTGTATAGCTGCAACTAAAGTTTGATTAATCTGTTTAAAAAAATATAATAAATATGTTAATCCTTTAGTCTATAAAATGTCAGAAAACAGAGGACGTTTTTTTTTTTATAAACAAAAGCGACCTCTTCACATTGCTTGTTTTGTCCAAGCAACAAAAGATATTGAATTTACAATAACATAAAACAAAACAAACAAAAAAAGGGCATATTGCTCGATAAACCACTTCGACCAGCGGTTCTCAAACTTTTTGCTCCCTTTAGAAGCAGATGAAACAAATGCTCGGTCATGCCCTCCATGCTCCTCTAAACTATTTAAAATTTGTATCAGTCATTAGCAACTTTGGGGGAAATACCAACAAAGTGTAGCTTTCTGTAAAACAAAAAAGTTTCTCCTGTTACATCCTGACTTTAGTTTTGACTTCCATATTTGCTTCCAAAATCTTTCTAAATTGAATTTTGTTTTATTTTTTATTCTTTTTATGAGGGAAAATTTCTCTGTACTTACCTTTTAAATCTGATACACACTGACCACTCTGGTTTCATCAAAAGTTGATCATTATCTGATAACACAAGGAAATTATTGAATATTATTCAATATGCAAAAAAGGTCCTGATTTAATTGAATTGCCCTTTATGATATCAGCACCCTTTGGTTGTCCCTCTGTGAGCCGTAAACCGGACGATGATATTTCCTGGAATGATATATGGAAGGCAGACAAACGAAAGCAATTTTAAAATATTTAACAGATTTTATTACACCCTGTCACAGCTACACAAAATGGGCATAAGGGATGACAGTAAGTGTATAAAACGTGGTTCTGCTGAAGGAACTGTGCTCCATCTGTTGTGGGACTGCAATGAAATCAAAGATCTTTGGTTTGGCATAACAAAGCGAGCGATGAGCCACACTAATTTAGCCATTCCACTCAAACCACAATCATGTATACTGGGACATTTGCATAACTTCAGCAGAGTATCTTCAAAGAATAAAACAATCTTTCTTTTGTTACGTGTGGTCACAAAGAAGGTAATCATGAATAACTAGAATGCTTTAACTCAGAAAGAAGGGATCACTGAAGCAATGGAACTGATTAGGTTGGAAAAGGTAGTTTTTAGATGGCAAAATAATGAGACGGAATACGCTGAAATGGGCGCCAGTGGAAATGTAGTTATTGTCACTATAAAAAGAGAGAGAAAAAAGACCACCATTTTTATTTCATTTCTTTTTATTTCTGACTAACCTAATAATTGTCTTCCTTTGCTGTCAGTGCTGCTTTACAGTATTAAGATTGCATCTTACCTGTGCTGTAAGATGCAATTACAGTGAAGATTGACGGATAGTTATAATGTCCATGACTGCATGCTGTATTTTGTGTTATTAAAAAAAAAAGATTTATTCAAAGCAGGGCATTTTTATATCTTTTGAAACATGTCTGGAGGGGTCTCGTTTTTTAAAAATAGTTGGTGATTAATTTTCCACCGCTCAAACTAATCCGCATATCATTTTAGTAGTAAATTAGTATATTAACACTTTTTTAATATATATATATATAT